TTAATTGGTCTTATTTCAATATTGTTGTGTCTCAGGGAATAGGAAGGCTAAAAGAAAGGGAGAAAGATGGCGGAATAGCTGGTTGGTGCTGCAGTCAATAAATGCACACAGTATTTGTTGATTAAGCTTACCATCTTATATGGTGTCTCCAAACAAATAGAATAATGATATCAAAGACCATTGTTCACAGCTTGGCGCCTGTAGCTCAGTGTTTAGGGTGCCAGCCACATACACCAGGGCTGGCAGGTTCGAACCCAGCCTGGGCCTGCTAAACAACAATGACAACTGCAACCAAAAAATAGCTGGGCATTGTGGTAGGCACCTGTAGCCCCAGCCACTTGGGAGGCTGAGGCAAGAGAATTGCTTAAGCCCAAGAGTTTGAGGTTGCTGTGAGCTGTGATGCCACAGCATTCTACCGAGGGCGACAGCTTGAGACTCTATCTCAAAAAAATAAATTAAATAAATAAATATAGCTGGGCATTTTGGCAGGTGCCTGTAGTCCCAGCTACTTAGGAGGCTGAGGCAAGAGGATCACTTGAGCCCAGGAGTTTGAGGTTGCTGTGAGCTATGATGCCATGGCATTCTACTGAGGGTGACAAAGTCAGATTAATGTAAGGTCTCAAAAAAAAAAAAAAAAAAAGGGCGGTGCCTGTGGCTCAGAGGAGTAGGGCACCAGCCCCATATGCCGGAGGTGGCAGGTTCAAACCCAGCCCTGGCCAAAAACTGCAAAAAACAAAAAAAAGAGAAGAAAAAGAAAAAGAAATCAGCTTCTAAACATTTCTTAAGACAAGATGCTGCATCTACACCCCTAATAGTAGGTATCATTATTAACACATTATATTACATTCTGAGCAATGAACAATCATAAAAATCCCCAACCCAAGAACATTTTTAATAATTACTATGGCACCAATTTATAAAACTTGGACTCTCTCCACTCCATTTTTGAGTTCCAGAAGTAACAAAAGGAATTCCACTAATATCAGGCATAATTCTATCAACATAACAAAAACTGGCATCAATTTCAATCCTATTCAAGTGTCATCATCAACTGACCTAAATATAATACTACTGGTATATTAATTATCACTATAATATTAAGTCTTGTAGAAGGTTGAGGAGGGCTAAATCAGACACAACTATCAAAATCCTAGCCTATTCATTATTTGTTCATATAGAATGAATAGCAGCCATCCTCATCTACAACTGTTCTACAATAAGGTCAAATCCAATAATTGATACCATACTAACAATTACTGTGTTCATAGTACTCAATTTAAACATTTCTATCACGTTGTCATTATCACACACATAAAATAAATTACCACTAATAAGGTTCATAGTCCTTATAACCCTATTATCTTCAGGGTTACAATCCCCCTTCAGAATTTTAACCCAAATGAATCATTACTCAAGAATTAACAAAAACAGCATTTTTATCCCAACATCTGTAGGTGTCATAGAATTATTCAATTATATTTTTCAATTATTGAAAATTATTCAATTCTATTTTTATACACAATTAATTTATTCCACATCATTAACAATATTCTCAATAACCAACAACACAGCAACAGAGGCAATTCAAAACTATTAAACTTTCTTTCTTTCATCATATGTAATGCTATCAACCTTTTCCCTCCCACTTGCACCAATATTCTCAACGTTGGATTAAGAATTTTGGTTAGACCAAGAGCCTTCAAAGCCCTAAGTGAGTATGCTAATGCTTAATTCCTGAAAAAATAAGGACTACAAAACCCCACCTTACATCAGTTGAATGCAAACTAAACATGTTAATTAAGCTAAATCCTTAATAGGCAGCAACTAATCCCACAGAAAGTCAGTTAACAGGTAACTACCCTTAATTAAGTGGCTTCAATCTACTCCTCCCACCACCTTGATTAACAAAGAAAGAAGCAGCTGGCAGAGTTAAAGCTGCCCTTTGTATTTACAATCAAGGGCGTGGGGGCTCATGCCTGTGATCCTAGCACTCCAGGAGGCCGAGGTGGGTGGATTGTTTGAGCTTATAGGTTCAAGAACAGCCTGAGCAAAAAGCGAGACCTGGTCTCTACTAAAAATAGAAAAACTAAGGCAAGAGGATGCTTGAGCCCAAGAGTTGGAAGTTGCCATGAGCTATGAGACTGTGGCATTCCACCAAGGGCGACAAAGTGAAACTCTGTCTCTAAAATAAATAAATCTTTGGCTCAGCGCCCATAGCACAGTGGTTATGGTACCAGCTAACATACATCGAGGCTGATGGTTTTGAAACCAGCCTGGGCCAGCTATACAACAATGACAACTACAACAAAAAATAGCTGGGCATTGTGGTGGGCACCTGTAGTCCCAGCTACGTGGGAGGCTGAGGCAAGAGGATCACTTGAGCCCTGGAGTCTGAGGTTGCTGCAAGCTGTGATGCTATGGCCCTCTACCGAGGGCAATATAGTGAAACTCTGTCTCAAAAAAAAAAAAGAATTTGCAATCAATTTGAATATTCATCTGGAGACTTGGCAAACGGGTTCAACCTCTGTCTTCTGTCTTTAGATCACAGTCTAAAACTTATTCAGCCATTTTATCTTTATATCTGTGTTAATTAGTTATTGATTATTCTCAACAAACCACAAAGATACTGGCACACCTCATTTACTATTTGTTGCTTGAGGTGGAGTAGTAGCAATTGCCCCTAAATCATTTAATTGAGTCTGAATTGGGTCAACCAGGGGCCTTGTTAGATGATGATCAAATTTACAATGTTATCATCACTGCCTATGCATTGGTGATAATCTTTTTTATAGTTATACTTATTACAATTGGAGGGTTCAGTAACAGACTAGTTCCCTTAATGTTTTGGAAACCAGATACAGCATTTCCCTGAATAAACAATGTAAGCGGCTGGCTTCTTCTACCATCATTTTATATCTGCTTGCTTTCTCATACAGAAGAAGCCATTTACCTATCTTTAATTGGAAATCTAGTGCATGCAGGAGCCTCCACAGATCTTCCCATTTCCTTATTACACTTAGCAGGTGTTTCATCAATTTTAGGAGCTATTCATCTTATTACAACAATCATTAACATAAAAGCTTCACCATTATTTGTCTGATCAGTTTTAATCACAGCCTTACTTTTATTCCTCTTTCCCAGTATTGGTGGCCAATATTAACATACTATTAACTATAAGCTTAATATCATGGGTTTTGATCCCACTGGAGGAGGAGACCTAGTTTTATACCAATATTTACTCTGACTTATTTGCCATCCAGAAGTATATTTTCTTATTTTACCCAGTTTTGGAATAATCTCACATATTGTAACTTATTATTCTGGGGGGGAGGGGAAAGGAATCATTTGGTTATATAGGACTAGTATGAGCCATAACATCGATCGGCTTTCTTAGGCTTTATCGCATGAGCCCTCTAAATATTTGCTGTAGGGATAGATGCTGATATCAAGCATATTTTACAACAGCTATTACTATAGTCTGCTATTCCTATAGGAGTTATTTAGTTGACTAGCAACCCTACATGGATATAACATTAAATGATCTCCAGCTACAATGTAATCTTTAGGCTTTAGTTCTCTATTTAGAGGTGAGGGCCTAACAGAAACTGTACTAGCTAAAGCCATCATGGGACATTAGTAGAGGCATTAATAATAGGAGTTTACACTTACTGTTTACTATTACTGCACTAAGGACTTTTTATGTGTTCTCCCACTAACTCCTCACATGTATCCTATGTGGTATATACTATATATATTAGGTGACTATAGGGACTTTCCATTTCTGTAGATTTAAAATGGTCAATTATCAGAAGTTTTATATTATATTTATATTCAAACTATTATCTTCCTGGTTTGGAGAAAGTGAAATATGGAGAGACTTGTCTAAGATACAATATCCAGCACCTGGTGAAGTCGGGTTTGTAAGCCATACGGGTTGAGGGCCAACATTCTTGACCAAAATGTTATGCAAATTCCCAGCAAAGAGACCGGTCTAATAGTTTAGGAGATGTAACCTCTAAGCTTTAGTGAAGTGTAATTTGCACGGTATGAGAGGATATATAAAAAGCCAAGAAATGATGCCACAACAAATTGGGCATTAAAATCAAATGTTTACATTAATTAAAGTAGCCTGTGTTTGTCCTTGCTTCTAGGATTATCTTTCTCTTCAATGAACTCTTACCATCACTTATTCAGCCCACAAATATTTACTCAACATCAGGCTCAATTTTTAACCACCTGGAAGGATCTTCTTTTCCAATCCTCACCTAATTCTTACTAATTTGCCAACTATAACTCATCTTTCTTTTCAATAGCTCTTGACTCTCTTATAATGAGAATCCCATTTTGCCTTTTAACATATCTGATTCCCTCCAACAAAAGTGAAAGATTCCTGAGGAAATCTCAATAAACGTTCAATTTCATGTTCATACCAAGTAAAGTTTACGTGAATATACATGAAATTAAAGAAAAACAGCCATCTCCAAAGCCTTTTTGGATCTTACCGACTGAACTGTCCTCTAGAATTTGAACTCATTTGAAAACTAACTTCCTTATGATATTCTTACATTACTGCTTAATGTTTCATGTGCCTTATCTAAGCAACTAAAGTCTAAGCTTCTCAAGATTAAGTCTTATTATTTGATTTCACAAACTGCCTTTAATTCATGGGCAGGAAGGAAAATTAGCAAGGTAGGGGAAGGTCCTGGAAGGTAGCAAAGTGAAAATGAAAGACAAGTGCGCGCTTGTGCATTAACACCTGCTTCTGAGAACTCAACCCAGCTAGTATTCAAAGCCTTGATAGCCGCTTTGGCTGTTCTTTTAATACAGAAGTGTCTGAGAAAACCGTCAGGGGGACCGCCATTGGCGGAGAAGGGAGCCCGCGAGCGCGGGTAGACGGCCCTAGACGTAGGCGACCAGCGCGCAGTCCGCTGACCGCCAGGGGGAGCCCTGCCGCGCGCTGCCTTAGCCGCGCCGCCCCGCTTTCTCGGCCCGCGCGCCCGCCCGCCGCCACGCCCGCCGCAGGCCGAGGGCCAGTCACCCGCGGGCCTCCGCTCCGCAGCTCATTGGCGCCCCGCCCCTGCTCCGCCGCGGGACGAGTAACGGTTACGAAGCACTTTCTCGGCCGCGATTTCTGCTTAGTCATTGTCTTCCAGGAAACAACTGCTCAGTTAAGAGTCAACTCTCCTGCGGCGGCTGCAGTAGCCCGAGCCGCAGCCACCAGCGCCTCCCTCCCGGGCTGCCGCCCCGCCGCCGTCCGGCCTCCATCGGGCCTGAGCGCAGGCCGGGCTGCAGGCGCGCGGAGTCGGCAGCCTCGCGCTAGCCTCTCGGCTTCTTTCGGGCCTCCGGCACCGCGTCCTGTAGGCCGGCCGCCTTCTCGCCGGCCCGCGGCCTCGTCTCCGCTTGGCCCCCTCGGGCTGCCGCTGCAATGGGCACCAACAGCCGCGCAGCCAGGGCGCTCCTGGAGCGGGCCCGCACCCTGCACCTGCAGACCGGGAACCTCCTGAACTGGGGCCGCCTGCGGAAGAAGTGCCCGTCCACGCACAGCGAGGAGGTGAGCGCGGCGAGCGCTGCCCGCAGAGGCGCGGGGTTCCCCGGGCAGGCCGCTGGCTGGGCCGGGAGGCTCCGAGGGGGGCAGAAGCGCCGGCCGGCCGGGGTGGGTAGCCGGGCTCTGGGTGCTGGCGGAGGCAGCCGCGCACCTTGGGCGCCGCCCGCGGGAGGATGCTGGGACGGATGTCAGAGGGATCCCGGGTCCACATCTGCCGGGAACAACGAGCCAAAAACAACGGAGGCAACTGCGCAGCAAGTGACGCTTCTCTCAGTGCTTTCCGCTGGTATGGTTTAAGTCTCAAAGGCGCTACATATTGGGTCCCTCTTCCTGGCACGGGGTCAGAGAGGGCCAGTTCATCGTTCTGTCCCTTTCCCCGTCTCTTCCTTCCCTACCCTGTCCAGGTAAAAGAATATTTCAGAAGTTAGCCTTTGGTGGATTCAGATGAAGTACGCTTAACTTTAGAATGTGGACGTTAGTTTATTGCCGTGTGGGAGATGAGTAAACGCTCAAATTTGGCTTTGGAGTAAGGGGTGTGTGTATAATGTATGTGGTTTTTGTTTTGTTTTGGTTTTTTCTGGAAATCGATCTGCCCATTCACCTAAAGACTAATCACTAAATACTCGAGCTGATGGATACATTAAATACCCAAACTTGATCATAACACGTTCACTGCGTGTAAGAAAATATGACATGTATATGTACAAGCATTATATATCAATAAGAAGTAACTTTTAAAAACTGGGGGGAAAGACTAATCGCTAGTTGGAGGTGGCAGAGATTAATCTGGAATTTTACACTTGTTAAATACTTTTTGCTGGCTATTCCTAATCGGATAGTCATCCACTGACTGTGTACGTGGTGCTTATTGGTGATTATGGGACAATTTCAGTGATTAAAACGTAATAAAACTTTTAGATTTAGTCTGTGATTTTGGAAAAGTTACTTAGACTCACTCTGTTTACATAGTTTTAAATTGGGTAATTCTCATCAGGTTGTTGTGAGAATTAAGAAATGATACATGAAAATGCTCTCCATACAGGCATTTCTCTCCCTATCCGTCAGGAAGATAAAAGAATTCTTAATTAAAAGAAAAAAAACTTTCTTAAACTATGTCATATTATGATGTTTCCCGCTGCGTCCCTAGGCACTGTCTGCTGTTCTCTGAGATGTTAGTTAGTGATGTCTGCCTAGCAGCCCATGACATCCTTCACAGTAGCACTGAACCTGTGCCCAGGCCTGGTGTGGAGAGTCCAGAGGAGAACTCTTGATTGTAACTTTAATACAACTCTGTATCCGAACCATCTTCTGTACTCTGGTTCCCTCTCAGTTAGTATGTTTTTGTCTTGTTCAAACCACCCACTTTGACTATTTCTGTCAAAGACAAACATTTCTATGTTTGGTATGTAAACTTTTAATTTCTTCCAGCCCTGAGGGTGATTGCTCAGTACAGCATTTTGCATGAATATTGATATTGGGTAAAATTTTCTGTCTTATCTCATAACACATTCTTCTAAAGTTTCAGAGTTTTTGATTGCACAGTGAGAACTGCAGTTTATAGTTAAACATCTGTGTGCGTGTGTTTACACAAAGTAATCTTTATCTGAAACAAAGGTTTCATAAAAAGATGTTAACCCTTGTGTATTCTGATTTTTTTCTATCTGAATTTTTAAACATTTTATTTCTTAATGCACTCACACCCCAAAGTCTGAAAAACATTGTTCAGAGGACTAAGTTTTGTTTTTATTTAGGGTGCTTCATGAGAGTAGAACAAAACAAAGAAAATAGAAAACATTTGAGAAAAACTTAAAGGAATGATGTCATATTGTAGGAAAACTATGACTACTTAGTTGGAATGGGAGAGGCATGTTTTGTTTCTGTTAAAGAACTTGGTAACAACTAGAGCCCCAAATCGGGATGTACAACGTAAAACAGCCCAACCTCATTGATGAGATTGAAGAAACTGAGTATATGACTCATTATTGAGAAAATTTACATATTAGGTAGAGAGTTCAGCTAAATTCCTTAAAATTTCTCTTCTGGTTCTAGTGTGTGTGACTTCTGTCCACAAATTTTGTTTTCCTTGGAATTTTATGAAATCAGACTCTTTCTTTGTTAAGTGGGCTGGACGTGCTTTGCCCAGTACTTTGTTGTAAGGGTGTTTGACCAGTTGAATCATGGTATTTTTAAATCTCTTACAAAAACTCCAGATCTAATGAGAACACTAAATTATGGTGAGACTTATCTTCAGTGATATTATGTGCATATGATAAGAATGAAAAGATCAGAGAACAAAAAAGTACAAGTTAATGTTCAGTCAATGTGTGAGTAACATATAATTTACCAGATTAAAAATCAAGTTTGTGATAAAAGTCAAACCACTTATGGTACAATTGTTAGCCTCTACTTGGTTCTGTTGCCTCAATTTTTTCTTATTTTTAAGAGAATATTGACTTGTAATTCTGTCCGGAATGATTATCAACTAATTTTCACCTGCTAAATTAAGTTTGACTATAAATATAGTCTGTATAAAAATACAGACCTTATAACTTGAATCCAAGTGGGTTACTATGGATAGCACGTAAATTATAAATCTTAACATAAATGGCTCTGTGTCCTTAAATTGATAAACTAGTCCTTTGTAATCTGTACTGAGATAAAAGCAGTAAAGTGCTTGCATTATTTTTTTTTCATCAGCAATCATAGTTAAGATAATGAGTTCAGAAGTTTAGTGTCTGTTGTGGCTATTAGGAAAGTGCTTTTGCAATTCAGCGGCTTGCTTAGAGTTACTCATTCTCTTTTTATTGATTGCTGGCAGGATGCAAAACACTGCCTTTGATTAGCTGTAAGGGAGTGATTTTAAATTGCTAATGTTGGTCCATTAGTGGTCCTAAATCAGTTTAGCAAATCATGGAGCAGTTTATTTTTTGTACAATTAATAGAATAGAATCCTTTTGGGAAAGGGGGGATTAAAATGTACCTATTGAGTATAATACACTAGTCTGGTGACAGGCACTTAAGGCTGACTTCAGCATTATATAGTTCATCCATATGTGAACTGGCACCCCCTTATAATGGGGGAAAAAGACGTAAGAGTGCTTGCCATGTAGTGAGCATAAAACTTCATTGTGTGAAGTTTTTGTTCCATCACGTGTCTACAAAACCTCGTTACTACGTGAATGTTTTACTTTGGACTACTGTCAAGTAAGTTTGAAATACACTGACATGGGAGATACAAAGATGAATAAACCAATGAATTTACAAGGTACTATATAATGTGAGTGTAATGTTGTTTGTTTATCGAAGAAAACATTGAAAACAGGTTATAAGCGTGTACCTCAGTGTTAGGAAATAACTTACGGACTATCTTACACAAGTTGACTTCTGCAAGATCTATCTATACTGGTGGTTCTCAGACTTTAGAGTACGTAGTGATTACTTATAATTGTTAAAATGAAAGTTCTGGCAGCTCTTTGAAAGTGATTCAGGAGATCTAGGATTGGGCTTAAGATCCGAATTGTTTTTTTGTTTTTTTGAGACAGAGTTTTACTTTGTCACCCTGGGTAGATTGCCGTGGTGTCATAGCTCACAGCAACTTCAAACTCTTGGCCTCAAGAGATCCTCCTCAGCCTCCCAGGTAGCTGGGACTATAGGCACCTGCCACAACTCCTGGCTAGTTTTTCTATTTTTGGTAGAGACAGGGTCTTGCTCTTGCTAAGGCTGGTGTTGAACTCCTGAGCTCAAACTACCCATCCACCTCAGCCTCCCAGAGTGCTAAGACTAGAGGTGTCAACCACCACACCCAGCCTAGGATCTGAATTTTTAATAAGCAGCACAAATGAATCTGATGTAGGAGTTCCTCTGTTCACACTAATTCTCTAACATTTGTTTGTCTTTGAGGTGGTTAATGTGAATTCTCATCAGGTGGCCTGGGCTTGAATCCAAGTTCCTCTGTTTATAAAAAACTTCATTCTTGAAAAATGTTTTGTTTCTTTATGAATACTTTTATGTCTCAAAAGTTTACTTAAATTTTTATTGATACAAAAACATTGTAAAAATAATTAGACTACATTTATAGTATACATATACATAGTATAGTATACATATATATACTATATATATTTAGCTTAAGAATATTTGAAAAGTAAGAGTCAGATAAAAACAGGTCTGAATTCATATTGAAGGAAACAGACACCCTGTAGAATTTAAATTGGGGTTTCTATGGTATTTCCTATTGATATCTTTTTCTTCCTGCTGGTGAAACTAATACATCTTATTGCAGAAGCGTATAGAGCTTAACAGTTTCAAAATGCATTATTTTTGCAGCTTCGAGACTGTATCCAAAAGACCTTGAATGAGTGGAGTTCCCAAATCAGCCCAGAGTTGGTCAGGGTAAGTGGAACGTGACTACAGAAATGGTGCAGGTCAAAAGGGAAGTGAAGTAAGGAGAAGTTATTTTCCTCAGTTTTGTAAGGGAAGTCAAATAGGCAATTAGCCATAAAACCTCTGTGGCTAATTTGCTGAGATGGCAGTTTGATCTCGTAAGCTTAAGCTGGACTCTGTAATCAGCTCTTGAATTAGAGAAGATCTAGGATCCATGTGTTTAATTCCCACCCCAGTGTCCTCATCATCAGTATTTTATTCCAGTTTATTTTTAGTCTGGTAGAGGAATAATTATCAAACATTTGGTTGGTAGATTGCTTTTGTAGACTGTCACCCCAGTAACAGAGTCATTAGACATTTTTCAAATGTCAGTTTCTGATGAGAGGAATAAGGAAGTATGTCCCATAAAATGTCGGTAAATGGCTGTTATCACAAATGGTCATACACATACACAAAACACTGTCTGTAAACCACTCTTCAAAATCCAGCTCAGCCAAAGAGTCACGTTAAATTTCATAGGCTACTTTTTAAAGTATGGAAGAGGATATGTGCTGGAAATATTTGTTCCCCTGGGCATTTACAAGTCTAACTCTACAGCTACTATACAGACACTGATTAATTTATTCAAATCAATCTCTTTCTCTGAAATGAGTTTCTCTGAAATTTATTCCATTTGTGCATGATCTATAAACATGTACTGAACCCCTGATACGTGCTAGGCATTGAATGTGCTCAAGAGTCATGGGAAAGTCCTCACCATTTACTTTGTCTAATCTTGTAAACATGAGTTAATATGCTTCTGATTT